ATGTCTGGGCGTAGGTGTGTATATTTAGATGTTTAAAAGGACCCCGTGCATACGACGGGACCGGCCGACTGCGAGCAGTACTACATCTAATCTGATTTTCGAGATTTCCTCCCAGATTTCGGAGGCTGTACGTGATGCGAGTTTGAGTATCTAATTTGGAAGTGGGTAAGCCAGGGAATCCAAGAAATTGAGCAATATATAAAATATGTATCCTTTGGGTGTACTTAATCGAGAACCTTTCCTTGAACTAACTTTTACAGAGGAAACATGGACCTGTACCTTCCGTGTTGATGTAGCTTTAACACAATAGTTGATCTTGAAAACAAGTGCACCGGTATCAAAACAGTATATACCGATCATAACATGTTGTATCGCACTGAATATTTAGGGGTACAAAAAGTGTAAAGTCGATAAACGGGGGTTTTGTTCGGAAATTATTTTTTAACATTGAGATTACATTGTCAGACTTTGTGACCTAGTTACGTGTGTTGAAATCGGCATAGCCTACAAGATTTATTTCCCAAAATGCAAAAACAAAGGGTAACTTCACGGTAACCCGGGTGTATTGAAGATTCAAAGTTCTCGTCTGAACAAAAATAGCGTTTCTCGATCGTTTGTCTCTTCAAACATCTGACGCGACCCAAAAATCCTTAGCAATTAATTACGCCCAGACAGTAGGTACATCTTTTACCATATCTCGAAATCGCGATAACCGACAGACGCGCCGCATGAACGATTTGTCGAAAATATCCCGTACACTGCAGCTCGTGTACGCAGATTCACAGAAAATCGGCAAAAGGATCGAGGGTTTCGTATACCTACACGAGAGAGTGTAAGTGCCATTCCGCGCGTACAATGCTCCTCTTCTGCAACATACGCGACGAAGACGAGCGTCGTCGCCCGAAATAGTGACCGGCGACTCGGCCGTCGACGATCTTCTCCAAAAATAAGGCGCTCCCTCCTTAGCTCTCGGGTATCAGCGATCTGTACCCCCTATTTTCTTTTTTTCTTTTTTTTTCCTCGCTCCTCTTCTTTCGTTTATTTCTGCCGTGCGCGTACGTATATATCCGGGTACGGTATTTAACAGCTCGACGGTAGAAGACGACGAAAAAGGCGAGAAGAAATCGCCAAGTGCGGGCTCGTGGCACTTGTTCCGTCTTCCTTTTTTTTTTTTTCTACTTTTTCCGTGCGAGTTCAAATATGGGATGTGCTCGCGCACACGAGCCCTGCAACGGTTCAATCGTCGCGACAATTGTCCAAACAGAGCAGCCGATGTGATGTACATCAACGACGAGCCTTTTTTTTTCTTTTTTTCAACTCTTTTTCTGACTGGTTGGAGACAAAAAAAGTTTTCGAGCAATCCCAGTCTTTCATTTTTTTTCGGTTTATTTGTAAACTCGTTTCTTACAATTGTTTAGTTCAATACTAATAGAAGAAAAAAAAGAAATCGGTTACAAATTACACTCCATCCAATCGATCCTTAACGATTACACGTACAAATTACGAAATAAATAGGTAAAAAAACACGCGCAAATCAAGCCAACGCGTGTATACAATGTTGGTATAAAAAAAAAATAAAATAAAAAAGCAATATCAAGGTATGATTTGATATGGATAGCTGGGCCTGAAGTCGTTGGAAAATGCGTGGCCGGGCGAAAACTCGTCGAAAGCCCTGCGCTCCGGGGGCTGGAGTTCCGAGTAGTAATCGAAGGAGTACGGATTTTTCCGAAAGCCAGAAAAGTCGGGAGCGTCGAACAACCCATGCGCCGGCTGAGTCGTAAATTCCACGTGGGACACGTTTTGCGGGTACCCGTTGTAGTAGTAGTGGCCGTTACCGTTCGGCGGATAGTAGAACGGCTTCCCGGTCGTCGGTGGCCCGTAGGCTGGTCGGGGTGGCGGGTAATACACCGGTGGTGGGTACGGCGGGTAGTAAGTCGGGCTCGGCTCCGTGACGTTCGATGGTGCCTTCGAGGTGCGCCTCGTATGATGACGCCGCGTTGGTCTAGTTCGCCTCGTCGGTCTAACCGACGTCGAAGTCATGGCTTGCCGGTTGCTATCCTCCTCGCTACCACCAAACTCATCCGTTTCCGCGTCTCTGTCGATCTCGCGCTCCTCGGTCACCGAGTCCTCGATCGTCGACACTTTGGTCGTTGTACCGCTGCTCGAGATTTTCTGAAACACCCCATGAAATGTCCTTACCACCGGTCACTTATACATACGCATCGGCAGCACGTATCACGGCGTTACCTTTTTCCTCCGGCGAACCTCGTCTAGCCCGCTCTTCGTCTCCATCCCCTTGTTGAAAGCGATCTTCCGATCCTCGTTCGGTATCTCGTTGTCGAGGTCCACCAAGACGTGGTGGTTGCGCTCGGACGTGACTTTGAGGGTCGTCGAGCTCTCGGTCGCGGTAGTGGCCGTGGTGACCTGTTGTCCGAACCACTTGAGAGGATTGAGCACCGTGGCCAAGTACTTGAGAGGATCCTTGAAGAACAAGGTGAGCGAGGGCTCGTAGACGGCGGCAAAGTAAGGGCCCCATCCGCCGACCGGTGGGTAATTGAAGCTGGTGCTGACGACCGGGATGGGCTCGTGCTGGGGATGGTGCGTCGTTTCCAACGTGGTGTCCCGATCTAAGGTGGCAGCCGACTCGGCGAGCTCCGGTAAACCGATTCCCGCTACTACTGAAAGTTTACCCAGCAGCCGTGGACTCCGGCCGGTGGTAAGATTTGAATTTCGGGTGGCGTTGATGCTCGCGGGGTTTGGGGCTCCGCCGATTCGAGCTGCTTTTTTTTCGGGAGAATCAATTAAAAGTACATCCGTATGCGAATGCTGTCGATACTCGTGTAGTGTACTCACCAGCTTCGTTGGAAAAAATGACAACGAGTAGGAGCATGCTCCTGCAGAAGGTGGTGGTCGTCGTGGACGTCTTCATCGTTTCAGGAGTGCCGAGAAACTGGAGAAATTGCGGAAGGCTGTTGGAACAGATGCGGGCGTTGCTCGCCCCCATAGTTTGTCAAAAGCTTCCGTGGAAAGTGCGAGGCTTCCGATAAAACGCAAGTCCATTTGGTATTCGGGTCGGTGGGCTTTCGAAAAATTTCTTTTTCCCTCGTCATCTGTACACCTCGTAAAATCATATCGCTAATTTACTCGCATCGCGGTACGTGAGACGATTATTTCGCTTTCTAGAAACTATTCCACTTTTAATTACAGTTTTTTGTTTTCCTCATTAGGTCCCTCAATTTTGTTTTACTTGTATTTGATGTACCTACAGTATAGCAATTTTCACAAATAATCGGACAACTTTTTAATTTTGCGACATTCGGATCAAAGGAAAAGTCCTAGGTACTAAAAAAAATACATAATTTGAGAAAACACTACTAATGCGAAGAATTGTCTAAAAAATTTTCAGGTATTCGCATTGCAATCAATGCGAATGGGCTAACTAACTGAAATGAAACAGCAATTTTAGCTCACTGTTGCTTTGCATGGGGATGAGTGACTATTTTAGCTTTTTTGAGCAGCAATGCTCTTTCTTTGTTGTTTGCAGTGCGTTTCTGAGTACCACTATCCACTTCCTCCTTATTGGGCCCATCCGTGCTATAATTATTTTATTCTTATGTGTATATATGAGACTCTCGATTTGACGAGATTCAAGGGTTGTCAGTTCATTCTTTTAGCAAAAAATAACCTTTATTGCTATTTAAACAAACAGTTTTTGAAACCATACCAGTAGAGATTATGGTTCGAGAATAAAGATTGTCCGATATCCCTGCAGCATATCAAGTGTATTTGCACCATAGAGATATTTGCCCACATGTATTTGCATAACAATCAGCGTTACGGAACTTAACTGCTGGTAGCATTTGCGGAATAAGTGCAGCCTCTGGATTTATCATTCTGGTAAAGAGAGCACGGTGTAAGATATACGTGAAGTTATGTGTAGTTATTACAGTAATCACTTCTAAGTAGTGTCATATGATTGATTTTATTAAATCATATAAGTAGAATATCTATACTTTTGAAGGTCGATTTTCAGGTGAAAGATAAATTGTATACTTGTCGCAAATAGCACAGACAATGTCAACTTTTTATCTATTATCTATAAGATTAGTTGCGGCTGGTTTGTAATTAATTACATGGCTCTACTATAATTAGTCTTGATTATATGGATCAGCGCCATCTAGCGTTGCGGATTTCTGAACTAAAAAGTGGCCCTAAACTTCTGAACCCGAGCCTTAGCGCTCAGAGCCATTTAGTCAATTATAAACCAGCCGCAACTCATAGTGAAGCTATATAATCAGAAAATAACGATACACGTGTTTTTGACGGCAAGTTAACAATCTATTTTCTACAAAAAAATCGACCTTCTATGTATTTATCCTTTTAAAGATAAATTTTTAAGCATAAGATAGATTGTTAACTTGCCGCCAAAAACACAAGTGTCGTTATTTTTTTATTTTATAGCTAAAAAATAGGTTGCGGCTGGTTTATAATTAACTAAATGGCTCTAGGCGCTAACGCTTTGATTCAGAAGTTTAGGGCCACTTTTTAGTTCAGAAATCCGCAACGCTAGATGGCGCTGATCCAAATAATCATGACTACTCATAAGTAGAGCCATGTAATTAATTACAAACCAGCCGCAACTGATTTTATAGATAGTAGATAAAAAGTTGACATTGTCTATGCTATTTGCGACAAGTATACAATTTATCTTTTACCTGAAAATCGACCTTCAAAAGTATAGATATTCTACTTATATGGTTTAATAAAATCAACCATATGATACTACTTAGAAGTTATTAAGTACTATAATAACTACACATAACTTCACGTATATCTTACACCGTGCTCTCTTTACCAGAATGATAAAATCAGAGGCTGTAATCCGTATTCCACAAATGATATACTTACTAGCAGTTAAGTTACGTTAACGCCGTATGGTCGTGACCAGATGTCGTGAGTGTCGTGACCGGGCTTCCGTATAGGTGTAAGTGTATCAAAAACATAGTAAAAAACTAAAAAACGTTGATCAGAACGTAAACACTGCAACTGCTTCAAAATAATGTCAAGTGACAGCTCGAGTCTGTCTGATGCGAAGGAAAACAAAAAGGTCGAACTTTCGATCGAAGATTTGGCAGTCGAGGATGATTTCTCAACACCGGAAAAACAAGAGGCGCGGGCCTTTTTGCGGGAACGATTTTTACGCGTGATAACCGGCATCGTTGGTAAACATTGTTTTCTTCCCATTTACTGCGTTAATTATGTAGATTTTTCAACTTACGTCCGCTTTTATTATATTTTAACTCTATATTTACTGAATGAGTATGTTAGACAGAGACATAACCTAAAAACCGCAATGTTTACTGTTTTACAGGTAAGCCGTCAAAGTTTCATTTGTACGAAAACACAAGCGTCACTGCAGAATTTCGAGGCTGCGATATCGATTTATCGGAGCTGTACGTCAGAAATTTAGCTACACCTTGTGGAACTGTACCAGAAGCTATCCTTAGAACCACGGACGTGATTGTTGTGGAAGTGGATAAGGTGTGAATGAATACAATTGACAAGACTTTTTAAATTATACAAATTTAATGCGAGTCATGTAAAAATTTTATCGTACAACGTATTACAACTAACATAAAAAATATTATTTACATTTGGTCTACCTTATGAGCGCCTCATGCTCATCATAGTATTGATTTCTGAGATGATGCGTCTGAGATGGTCAATGATTTCTTTGAGATGCCTGTTTTTCAGTATTACTTGCTGAAAATATATGTTATATCAATTATAGCAAACATACAAACTTGATAAGTTAAATTATTTGTACCATAATTTAGAGGGTAATGTACTTTTTTAGAATTATGAATAATATCAGTAAATTGCAATTCAGCTCACCTCCATTACTTCTTTGTGTTCCTCGCAAGCAACTCTGTAAGCTTCAGAAGTCTTTTTCTCATCAGATTTCATGTCCCATTCTTCTTTGATGGGAATCAAACTTTCAATATGAGTATATTCCATTCCTTGAAGTTGACTGTTTTCATTACATTTTTCATAAATAACCCTTAAACGTTTAAAAAGCAGACTTATAGTTTTTATTTGATCTTGTACTTTTAATTTTTTATCATTGGAAGTACTTTGGCCTTGAGGTGTACCTAGAGAATCATGAAAGTATAAAAATAACATCAGTTGCTCAGATGTTTTGAATAATTACGAAAGTAGAAACAACATACCATTAGGAGGCTGAATAGTCTTGAGCTGAGTAAAAACTTCCATCATGCGGTTAACAATTTCCTGCACAGTTTCTTGTCCCAATTTACACAAGGTAGCAGTATTAAAATCTTTCGCGTTTTGCCTCTGCTGAGTCGGTTGAGGCTGAGGAACTGGTATTTGAGGTGTGGCAGCAGCACCACTGGACTGATTGTTCTGCTGCACCAGAGCACTTTGCTGCTGCAGATGCATTTGTTGCTGATGTGGCTGCAACTGTGGATGCACAGGCTGCTGTTGATTCATGACCTGCTGAGCATTGGGCAGCATACCCAATGAATTAGGAACCATCCCTGCACCTACCCCAGCTCCAAATTGTTGTGGGCTCATCATGCCTGCTAAAAAGCACATGTGTTAGATCAAGAAGCAAAACACAGGCAAAAATGATGTAAAGTGAAACAATTTGGTTACCTTGCTGGGGTCCCATGAGTCCTGAAACCATCTGTCCACCACCAAACTGGTTGCGCAGAGTATTTTGTTGGGCATTGGGAAAGCCCGTGGGAAACGGATGTTGTGGTCCAGCCATTTTTCAAATAGAATTGAACACCTAAAAATAACATTGGTAACAATCTAATCAACTCTTTCAAGTGCCAATATACATCGTTGTACACTGTAGATTACTTGAAACATATAAATGAAGTAAGAGAGAAAGAGGTTACAACGATACGTGTTTACACCCAATTTAAAAAATAAACATCAACTTACTAGCTGTTTATTCACCTGCATGTACTTTGCCTCCACCCCTTGTCTACAAATACTCGCAGGGAGGCGTGCTTACATTTTTAATTAAAACTACACTGTGGAAGCAATTATTCACTCAGCACTGTAGCGTATTAAATGCACTCCCCTATACAATCTGACAGAAAGTCGAACATTATGAGGTTACAATAGGTAATCGGTTTACCGTCGTATTCGTTGCAGGCAGTTTGCATCCTTTGACTTTGAGCTTCCCTTGGTGACCACTTGATGACACCATCATCCAGACCATTTTGGACCTTCCATTGCTCTACGATCGGTAACAAACATACACATCTGGTAATTTTATTATTATATATGTATTTGAATTGCATCTTTATCAATAATGTACATTATTTTATTTAACTTTTTTTTCAATATAAAATAATAATTTGTCCCGGTGATTAGTTTAGCGAGGTACGTTTTTATGGATATTCTTATATTTTAACTTATTTATTAAAATTATACAAAATTAGTTGCGGCTGGTTTGT